TTTTGAATGGGTACCAATATTCAAAAAGTGTTTTCTCGGTTGGCGCAGTTTCTAACCGACCGAGTTTTCTCGGTTGGCACAGCACAGTGGTTAATCTAATATATATTTTTAAGAAGGTAATTTCTAGCAAAATTAAAAATGTTTACAGGTATATTGTAAGAAAGTATAAAAATACATTGTAAGAAGGTATAAAAATGCATTGTAACAAAGTATACAAAAATACATTGTATGAGAAATTTGACGAAAAAAAGTAGGTATAAAAAAGTAAATTTAACGGTTATTCACAGGTACATTTTAGCATAATTTGATGATTATTGCAAGATATAATGTAGCAAATCATGTGTATGACATGATATAAGATAACAGCACTGCTTACAATGGTAAAGTTATATGGCATAGGTACATATTTTTGGGAATTGGGTAGCAATAGATACAGTGCGAGTTTCAAGCACTAGGTAGGAAATATGAAGATGAAATTAGGTGCTTTTTGGTTTTCTTTTTGAATAAGGCAAAAGTTTGACAGCTTTTCAATTCGTTAGGGAATGAGTTCCATAGACCAGGTACCCTTATTTTCATAGTGTGTTCACACAGATTAAGTTTGACTCTGGGGATATCAAAGAGATTTATTTCTGGTGTGGTGATTATGTGTTCTATTACATCTGTCCAAAAAGAGTTTCAGAACAGGGTTTTGCACTTAAGAATAGGGGTTTGTAAATGTAATTGACACAAGAGAATGTGTGGAGTGAGGTTATGTTTAGCATGTTTAGGGATTTAAACTGGGGGCTGAGTGTTGTCTGAAAGCTGAGTTTGTTATTATTCTGATAGCAGATTTTTGCTGGGTGATGATGAGCTTGAGGTGGTTAGCAGAGGTTGAGCCCCATGCACAGATACCATTTGAGATAGGGACAGATTAGCACATAGTATAGTGAGAGGAGAGCAGAGTTTGGAACATAATATCTGATATTAGAGAGCATACCAACCATTTTTGAGACTTTCTTTGTTATGTGTTGTATGTGGGTGCTGAAGTTGAATCTCTTGTCTAAGTATAGACCTTGGAACTTTTCATAATTTCTTATTGCAGATGTTAACATTGTCTATCTGAATCTGAATTGCATTTGTTGATTTGCTTCCAAATAATATTTAGTAGGTCTTTTTTATGTTTGGTGTGTGTTTGTTGGTTGACATCCATAAGTGAACTTTTTTTAGTTCATTGTTTACAACATTATTTAGTGTGTGTGTAAATTGGGGTCTGAGTAGATGAAGGTAGTATCGTCAGCAAATATAATAGGTGTAAGAATGTTAGAGACATTAGGCAGATCATTGATGTATATAAGGAAAGCAGTACGAATAAATACATGGTGTGCATATATTTATAGGCATTAGGCAGATCATTGATGTATATAAGGTAAGCAGTATGAATAAATACATGGAGTGCATATATTTATATGCATAATCTGTATATACATATATTTTCTAAGTTACACATAATGAACACCACCTTTGACTCTTCAATACAACTGGTTAGCATGACAGAAACTAAATAAAGTGTGTGAAACAAAACAAAAAATTATCAAGAAAGTTCTTCCCTTGCAGTGCCTCTCCTCATTTCTGCTGAAAAAATGCAACTTTTCTAGACTACTAAAACTAAACTACATGTGGTAGAGAGCTTTTACTTGTATTTTTGTGTTTCTTGGATGCTAATTAACAATGTTAAATGAAACAATATTCATTTCACAGCCACATACTTCATGAAGGACGAAAAATGGGGCCCCTGCCCGCCTTCAGGGGGTGCTGGGACAACTCCGACACCCCCGTAGCACTCCTGATAAAATAACCTTTAATTGTGTAAAATTTATTTTGACTAGTTACAAGCGTATTGCTTCCAACCTTGCACAGACATTCTCTCTTATAGATATTGATAAACACAGCATATATAGGAAGTTTTAAATGAATATTGAACATCTGAAGCAAGCACAATCTTTTTCAATATCCATAATTTACTTATAGCAGGTACAGTATTGAGATCATAAAGCTTACAAAGTTTAATATGTGATACCTGAAGAGAACACTGAAACATTATTCTACTTTAACCCTCAAACCACTAGGGGCCCAAATGGAATTCACACCCACAGGCGCAACAAAAAAAAATTCCTAAAAATTCTATCGTCTTATAGAAGTGTTCATTTTTGTTCCCTGATCACGGAAAAAAATATAAAAAAATCGTAGGAGGCATATTTTAGCCGCAATAGGGTAGGAAAGTGTGGCAAAAAAGGGGAGTTGGCAGAGCCTTCACCAGACGAGGTCTACTCCGCCCGAGCTGTCAGACGGCAGTTGCCACAAATATATTATTACCTAATTATTTCAATGTCTCTGATTGATTTTTTCTTAGTTTTTTGCGGTAATATTATTCCATACAGTGAATTGTGGTATATTTATATAATAAAATGTGTGAACCATCGCTGTACTCAAAATTATGGTTTGCATATTAGTGATTCAATGTATTATGTTCATAATAATATAATAATAATAATAATAATAATAATAATAATAATAATTTTATTTAGGTAAGGTACATACATAAAGAGATTTTACAAAGTTTGTTGGCTTTATAGATAGAGCTAGTACATACAATGCCTAAAGCCACTATTACGCAAAGCGTTTCGGGCAGGAAAAACATTAATGACTAAAGCTTAAAACTAATGGGTAAAAAGAATAAGATGTGTTGAGTACAAATAAAAATAGAGGTAAAAGAGGGGGGGAACATTGTTGAAAAAGCAGCACAAATACAATTACAAATTATTACAGAAAATTACATTCAAACAGCGTTGATTTGAAAAACAAAAAAAACAAAAAACATACATGGGTTGACAACAGAGGGGTAAGGTGAGTTACAGGGAATTTATTAGGTATAGCTTCGTTTTTAACTTAAACTGGTTGAGAGAGGTACAGTCTTTAACATGGTTGGGAAGGTCATTCCACATTCTGGGCCCCTTGATTTGTAGAGCATTTCTGGTTTGATTAAGTCGTACTCTAGGAATATCAAAACTGTATTTATTTCTGGTGTGGTGCTCATGGGTTCTGTTACAACCTTCTATGAAGCTTTTGAGATCAGGATTGGCATTATAGTTTAGCGTTTTATATATGTATAATACACATGAGAGAATGTGCAGTGACTTAATGTCTAACATATTCAGAGATTTGAGTAGGGGTACCGAGTGATGTCTGGGGCCAGAATTGGATATTGTCCTAATAGCAGCTTTGTGTTGAGTAATTAGAGGACGTAAGTGATTTTGGGTAGTAGAGCCCCCAAGCACAAATACCATAGTTGAGATATGGATAGATAAGGGAGTAATAGAGAATAAATATAATATATATAAAACAATAAACAAATAGTTTTGCTGTTGTTACACTATATACACAGGTTATATATAAGTATCTGCATGTTTTGTTCACCATAACGAACTACTAAGTTGGTCTTGTGAGTCAAAAAGCAAGGAGGAGTGACTGCCAAACACTAGCGAGCTACTCACTCCCACTCCCTCCCTCAACATCACCTCACTCACCCTCATTCTCCTCCCACAGTACTGTTTTTGCATTTATTCACTATACACAGACGTTATATATACGTATTTACATGTTTTGTTCACCATAACTGTACACCTAAGCTTGTATGGTGAGTAAAGGCACAAAGACGTAGCTATTCACACAGTCAGCTGATCGGCGGCCGCCCTCAAGGCCAGACGCACTAATATTTCTCCTCCAACAATATTGTTTGTGGTGTTATTACCCTATATACACACATTATATATAAGTATCTACCTGTTTTATTCACCATACCTGTACAAATAAGCTGGTATGGTGCCCAAAGACCACAGTGGCCATCAGTAAACAACATGCCAAGTCGTGCAGACGACACTCCTCCCTCACCAAAATGGCGGCTCCCAACCTACTCCTCTCGCTGTTATCTCACACTATACACACGTTATATATAAGTATCTACATTTGTGTTCATAGCGAACCACTAAGCTGGTATGGTGAGTGCAGTCAATATAGGTGACCACACACAGTCAGAAGACAACGCCACAACCCTCCCTCCACAGCCTTACTCCTCCCTCCATGGAGCACAGCGCTAAATATCACCACAATCCTGCTATTATCAGAATCCTGGTCAGTTTTATCACAGTCAGGGGGCTTCAGTAATACTATCACTGCTAAATAATAGCAGTATCATATATATTATGGCATTTGTAGGCGATGTTGTGGTCACAAGCTGAACAGTGGTGCTGTGAGCTCATGCTGCATGCGCCAGCCTTGGTGGCTTGCTGAATACTGATGCTCTAACACCCAAGAATGTTGGCCTGGATTTTTTTTTCTAGGTGGCATCTGGCAACTATCCATCGTGGCTGTACTATAGCTGCCCCTATCCCAGGCGGGGCGTTTAAATTATAGCGCTAGACACGAAATCATATATAAATGATGTGCGCGGTTTCGGTTTTGTCACCGATATCATTTATATATGATATGCGCGGTTTGAGGGTTAAACACATTTCAGAATCTATTTACTTACATTATAACCTCCATTTTATACAGTTCCACAGTGGTCACTACTATTGTAGGAAACCATAATATTTACTATGAGTGAACAAGAATACTGTATTTGTAATATTGGAGCTTGAATCACTTGTATTATAATACAGTATAATGAGTTTGTAAAATTAAATTATAACTGAAATCAAGGTGTTGCAATAGATTTTTTACTCATAAGCAAATTACTCATATGCATAATACAGACTTTCTTTTAATTAACATTTAATATTCACAGAACAAGTTAGGCTACTCAAAATAAATATTTATAAATTTTTACTTTAGCCTATTCTTGAAATGTAATGTTAAATTTATGTATCCTGGTTATTCATAAATTTATCTAATATGCCCAACTCTTTTTCTAATTTTATTCTTCCTCATTTGTTTAATAATTTTTAATGCAATTTTTCTCATAGGTTACTCATGCTGATGTTAATGCTCTACATCTATCCCTCTCTGCCAAAAATCACCCTAAAATGCCAATTCTGGCTTATCGTGTACAATATAAAATACCAGGAGATGACTGGAAATTTGCACAAGCCATGGAATTCAAGAAAGGTTGGTATATGTGTATATATACAGTAAAGTGTGTGTAATTACGTAAGTGTAGTTACAGGATGAGAGCTACGCTCGTGGTGTCCTGTCTTCCCAGCACTCTGTCATATAACGCTTTGAAACTACTGACGGTCTTGGCCTCCACCACCTTCTCACCTAACTAGTTCCAACCGTCTACCACTCTGTTTGCGAAAGTGAATTTTCTTATATTTCTTCGGCATCTGTGTTTAGCTAATTTAAATCTATGACCTCTTGTTCTTAAAGTTCCAGGTCTCAGGAAATCTTCCCTATCGATTTTATCAGTTCCTGTTACTATTTTGTGCGTAGTGATCATATCACCTCTTTTTCTTCTGTCTTCTAGTTTTGGCATATTTAATGCCTCTAACCTCTCCTCATAGCTCTTGCATTTCAGTTCTGGGAGCCACTTTGTAGCATGTCTTTGCACCTTTTCCAGTTTGTTGATGTGCTTCTTAAGATATGGGCACCACACAACCGCTTGTGTGTGTGTGTGTGTGTGTGTGGGTGTATGTGTGTGTGTATGTGTATGTGTAATTACCTAAGTGTAGTTACAGGATGAGAGCTACACTTGTGGTGTCCCATCTTCCCAGTACTCTGTCATATAATACTCTGAAACTACTGACGGTTTTGGCCTCCACCACATTCTCACCTAACTTCTTTCAACCATCTACCACTTTGTTTGCAAAAGTGAACTTTCTATTATTTTTAGGTGGGGGAGCTTAATTTCTCTAGTTTGAACCAATGTCCTCTTATTCTTGAAGTTACAATTTTCAAAAATTCTTTTGTCAATTTTGTAGTTTCCTGTTACTATTTTGTATGTAGTGATCATATCACCTCTTTTATGTGTGTGTGTATATGTATATATATATATATATATATATATATATATATATATATATATATATATATATATATATATATATATATATATATATATATATTATATATATATGACTGAAAACTCACACCCCAGATATAGTCGCATATAGTCCTGGGGACCATTCAGGCTTGTTTGCATATATATATATATCTGTGCTTTTGTTTTACATATCTGCACAATCAAGAAACATCTGTGCACCATGTTGCTCCAAATGCACGCATTGCGTCAGTGATGGCTGACTGGTGGGTGGATGGACGATGGAGCTGAGGTGGGAGGCAGTATGAATGAGGGGGGGGGGGGGGAGAATCAGTGAGAGAGGGGGGGAGAGAGATGCTAGGAGGGAGGGGGAGGTATGGAGAGATGTTAGGAGGTAGGGAGAGATGCTAAGAGGGAGGGGGAGGTAGGGAGAGATGCTAGGAGGTAGGCAGGAGGGATGGAAGTAGTGAGAATTAGGGAGGGAAAGGCAGGCTGGCAGGCACAGGCAGGCACAGGCAGGCAGACAGGCAGGAAGGCAGGCAGGCTAGCTTGCAGGCAGGGAGTGAGTGGTAGTCACGCGGTTGAACCGCGTGACCTTGAGAGATGGGATGTAGGGGGGGCGGGTGGTTTTGTTTGGTGGTGGGGGTGAGACCGGCTCATTCCCGAAGATAAGCCTAACACACACTACCCGTTAGCATGATGGCAGGGGGGGAGGCAGGCTGGCTGGAAGGAAGCAGGCTGGCTGGCAGGCAGGCTGGCTGGCAGGCTGGAAGGAGGCAGGCTGGCAGGCTGGCAGGCTGGGAAGGAGGCAGGCTGGGAAGGAGGCAGGCTGGGAAGGAAGCAGGCTGGCAGGCTGGGAAGGAGGCAGGCAGGCAGGCAGGCTGGCAGGGGAAGGAGGCAGCAGGCTGGCAGGCTGGCAGGCTGCTGGCAGGCTGGGAAGGAGGCAGGCTGGCAGGCTGGGAAGGAGGCAGGCTGGCAGGCTGGGAAGGAGGCAGGCTGGCAGGCTGGGAAGGAGGCAGGCTGGCAGGCTGGGAGGGAGGCAGGCTGGCAGCTGGGAAGGAGGCAGGCTGGGAAGGAGGCTGGCAGGCTGGGAAGGAGGCAGGCTGGGAGGAGGCAGAGGCAGGCTGGAAGGAGCAGGGGAAGGAAGCAGCAGGCTGGGAAGGAAGCAGGCTGGCAGGCTGGGAAGGAGGCAGGCTGGCAGGCTGGGAAGGAGGCAGGCAGGCTGGCAGGCTGGGAAGGAGGCAGGCTGGGAAGGAGGCAGACAGGCAGGCTGGGAAGGAGGCAGGCTGGGAAGGAAGCAGGCTGGCAGGCTGGGAAGGAGGCAGGCAGGCAGGCTGGGAAGGAGGGCAGGCAGGCTGGCAGGCTGAAGGAGGCAGGAGGCAGGCAGGCTGGCAGGCTGGGAAGGAGGGCAGGCTGGGAGACCTGTGACCCAGATTTGTTTCTTAAATGTACAGTACATCATCATCGTATATTTTAGGCAGGAGGAGAGTATATATATATATATATATATATATATATATATATATATATATATATATATATATATATATATATATATATATATATATATATATATATATATAATTATATTTCTAACAAATGAAAATATAGAAATTATTCGAAATATAGAAATAATAATAATAATTTAATAATAATTTTTTATTTAGGTAAGGTACATACATAAAGAGATTTTACAAAGTTTGTTGGCTTTATAGATAGAGCTAGTACATACAATGCCTAAAGCCACTATTACGCAAAGCGTTTCGGGCAGGAAAAACATTAATGACTAAAGCTTAAACTAATGGGTAAAAAGAAAAGATGTGATGAGTACATATAAAAATAGAGGTAAAAGAGGGGGGAACATTGTTGAAAAAGCAGCACAAATACAATTACAAATTATTACAGAAAATTACATTCAAACAGCGTTGATTTGAAAAACAAAAAAAACAAAAAACATACATGGGTTGACAACAGAGGGGTAAGGTGGGTTACATGGAATTTATTAGGTATAGCTTCGTTTTTAACTTAAACTGGTTGAGAGAGGTACAGTCTTTAACATGGTTGGGAAGGTCATTCCACATTCTGGGCCCCTTGATTTGTAGAGCATTTCTGGTTTGATTTAGTCATACTCTAGGAATATCAAAACTGTATTTATTTCTGGTGTGGTGCTCATGGGTTCTGTTACAACCTTCTATGAAGCTTTTGAGATCAGGATTGGCATTATAGTTTAGCGTTTTATATATGTATAATACACATGAGAGAATGTGCAGTGACTTAATGTCTAACATATTCAGAGATTTGAGTAGGGGTACCGAGTGATGTCTGGGGCCAGAATTGGATATTGTCCTAATAGCAGCTTTGTGTTGAGTAATTAGAGGACGTAAAATATATAATTTTTCTAACAAACATGACCTAACATAAGCGTACCCTTCCATTTATCTTTCTTTCTCTTTCCTTTACTTTCTCTCTTCTCTCATTTTTCTGTTCATTGTTTTCTCTTACATTCCCTTGCTATCCTCTTCTTATTCCTATTACTATCTCCTTCTCATTCGGTGGTTATAATAGGAGCTGCCTCGTATGGGCCAATAGGCCCTCTGCAGTTCTTATTCCTACTATTATCCCCTCTACTACACCTTACCTTGCTCCTCACCTCTCTTACTTATTTATTGCCTGCATCTACTTCCTCATCACAATCAACTTGAGAATGGTCCAGGACGGACCGAAACGTCATCGTCCCTTCACCTTCTAGTGTGTGGTCTGGTCAACATACTTTAGCCATGTTATTGTGACTCATTGCCTGTGTGTGTGTGTATATATATATATGTTGTACCTAATAGCCAGAATGTCGTACTCAGCCTACTATGCAAAGCCCAATTTGCCCAATAAGCCAAGTTTTCCTGAATTTATATATTTTTCTAATATTTTTCTTATGAAATGATAAATCTGCATATTTCATTATGTATAAGTTATTTTGTTTAAATTTGAGTTAAAACTAACATAGATATATGACCTAACCTAACCAACCCTACCTAACCTATCTAAACCTAACCTAAACTAACACAACTACGTCAGTAATTTATGTTCTTAATATAATTTAATAATAATAATTCAAATAAACTAATTGGAAACAATTTATTGAAAATAAAGAAAATCACTCGGCCTATTAGACGTATTGGGCCTTGATAGGAACGTTATCCCTGCAGACAAAAATCAGAAGATACAATTGACGATTTACTATAAAACAAAAAAAACGGCCAACCTACTCATGAAAAACTCTCCAGACACAAAGCAGAATGCCTTAAAGTAGACCAATGTCGTCAATGCCTTCAAATGCCCACTTGGGGACTGTAAGCCCCAAAGAACTCAGTATATAGGCAACACAACAACATCACTTTCCAGGTGATTAACAATGCATCAGCAACAGGGCTCCATTAAGGAACATATAATCTCTTCCCACAACCAGACCATCACCAGAGAAGTCTTAACGAACAACACAGAAATCATCGATAGATACAGTGATAGCAGGTGGCTTGACATCTGCGAGGCATTACACATCAAAAAGTCGACACTAGCAATCAACAACCAATTAATGCACAACTGTATTCAACCCACTTCAAGATTCCGTACCAATATAGAAGCATCAAGAGGAAATATGGGCCAATAGGCCCTTTGCAGTTACTTACATTCTTCCCTCTCATTTATCCAATTTATACCCATTGCCCCCTTGCTCGTTCTGGTTCTTCCCTTGGACTTCTTCTATTTTGACGCCCGGGTGCTTGAGGAGGCATACTCATGCACCCGTAGAACTGCAGTACCCGACGTCGAGAGCGAGGGGAACCTTTTATTGTCAATCCCCACTTCGTCACTGAACCCGATCTCGACGGACTGTCGGTTTCTTAAGGTGGCGTTTGTGGGGCGTATACTCGCGACGCACCCCTAGGAGGCCCCGACAAGATCGGCGATAGCTTCTTGTTGGGTGTCCTGCCTCTAATTGTGGCTCCATGGTGGGTGTGGGGGCACATTCGTGAGTGAATTCTTTCTTTCGTCAGGATGATTACCCCTGCTTCGGCTTCTTCTGGTTTACCTTCTCAGGCTCGTGGGGTGGGCGACCAAGTCCCCGAGTCGGTCC